ACCTTACACTGGAATCAAGAATGTGCCCTTTGTTGGTCTCAATTAATTCAGAATAGAATGTCCAACTGAACCACCTTGAGTGAAAATAATCCCATAAAAAGAAAGAAAGGAAAGAAAAATCACCACTTTCCTTTCAATGCCACCTGAGATGAGCGGTCAGACTCCCAAGGGGAATGCATTTGCCTGATAAACACACTAAATTGGAAGGTGGACACGCAATCAGCTGATGGTGGAGAACACTTGTCATTTGTGAATCATCACATTCTGCTTCGGGGTTTCCAAAAGAAGTTTTGAAAGACACATTCTAGCACTGAAAATTTAGGAAGATTCTAGGTCTTTCCCTATGAGATAGCTTTATGGCCTTGTGAACCACACATGACAGGGGAGGCATGCTTAATAGCTAGGTAAGAGATTTTCTGTTTCAGCAGGAAAGAATCAAATTGCTAGAATAAAGCTGGATTGAGAGGATTAAAATGTGTGCCATTTTATCCGTTCAACGTGCACGAACTACAACATCAAAAGCACCTCCTAACAAAGTTCATCGTCACATAGTCCATTCTGAGGATGAGGCCACGGTGGTGAGCATTCGGTGCCCCCTAAGGCACCGCAGCACGGGGGTGGACCCTGAGCAGTCATGAGAGGGATTCCAGGTAACGAACCAGGCCTGAAGCTTCCCATGACTTACATTAGAAATAAATTCAGTTGCTTGAAAGCAAACTTTACAATGGCATTCCTCTTATCGGTCTGCATGTCTGTGTCTTCTCGGGTGGGAGGGAGGGCAGGAGTTCCAGAGAAGTACAACTGTGCCGCATTCCCTGTAATTCTGGTTGGATGTATGGGAGAAGGCCTCCCGAATAAGGATGCAGAAAAAATGTTGTGAGCCACTGACCCGGGAGAGAGGAATGGACTGTCAATCCATGGCAACTTCCCTATGATGGAATAACCCTAGAAAGAATGGGGGAGGGGGGGCACACGGGAGCATTACTGTTTATCCCTTCAGATGATTGTCTGCTCACTTACCCCTATAGGAGGAATTCCTGGAAGGAAGAAAGCCACCCCCAGGACAGCTTTCAGAGGTGTTTGTGACACATTCCATTCAGTTGCCCATCCCCCTCCATGTGCTCAGATAAATAAAACAAAAGATTCATCCAAGAGCAAAAGTTGGTCTCCTGTTGCATAGCAACAGAAGGGCTTCTGCTCCAGGTAACTTTTGACAACAAGTTCAGGTCCTTTCATCGTCACCAAAAAACTCTCAAGTCGGGGCGCCTGGCTGGCTCAGTGGGTTAAGCCGCTGCCTTCGGCTCGGGTCATGATCTCAGAGTCCTGGGATCGAGCCCCGCATCGGGCTCTCTGCTCGGCGGGGAGCCTGCTTCCCTCTCTCTCTGCCTGCCTCTCTCCCTACTTGTGATCTCTCTGTCAAATAAATAAATAAAATCTTTAAAAAAAAAACTCTCAAGTCACTTTAGAGAAAATCAGGCGTGTCTGAGAGCAGCAGGGACGGCAGAGACAGCAGTCTGACGGCAAGCTAGCGTTCTCACCTTTCCTGAGCCAGGTCCCAGGCGTCGAAGGAAACCCACAATCGAAACCAAGAAGGCCCATCTCCAGCTCCCCGTCTGACAACCCCTTGTGAATTATTCACGTTAGGAGACAGCTTCCCCACCCCCGCTCCCTCCTTCAGGACTGCCAAGCGACACCGAGATGAAGTATGAACCACTGGTAACAAACACACCCAAGAAATAAATTTTTAACACCCAAGGGCAGGAGACAAAAGGCCCTCCTTTTCCAAAGGGAAAAAAGAAGCCAATGGAAGAGTGAAGAACTCCTGACAGATTCTCAACTGCTTCTAAGTTAAGAATAAACAAACCCTACAGGTTATTAAGAATGTTCTTCTTCCCACAGTTCCTGCGTTGGGGCCACTCTAGCATAAGGAGGATGAGCAGGCACTCCCAAAGACACAAGGGCACTTCCAGGACAAGCTTGAGCCACCCAGAGCATGAAGCTCTGTTGGCCCACGAGTGGCCCTAGATCTCCGAGGCTCCTGTGTAAACCGGCCAGAAAACAGAAACGCTATCCTGAAAGGACAGTGTGCCGTAGGACCGATATCCTGAGGAAACGACGTCACTGGACTATACGTATCCGTGAAGGAAGCAAGGGTGACGGACGGCGGTGGCTGGGACAAGAGTTGCCAAGAGGAACTCCAAACATGTCACTCGTGCAGCTCTTAAAGTGAGGAATCCCTTTGAGAACTGAGAGGCTCAATTCAGCTCACAAAAAAATAAAAAATTCATTTTTAGGCAAGAAAGCATCTGGATGAACTTTGGCTTGGGTCCACCTTCAGCAATTTAAAAAATGGTAAAAGGGAGTGATCCAATGCTCCCGTAAGGCTTTTGGGGGGCGGGATACAATGGAATGGCCAAGTCAGGTCAGTAGGGGTCCTCTGGGAAAACAAACATGGAGAGAACAGACCCTTTGGGGCCTCCATCTGCTGTTCCATGGAGAGGGCTCGCTGAGTACTAAAGCATCTATCTACAGTGTCAGAAGGTCTCATCTACGAGGTCCTGGAAGACTAAGGGGAGAAGAAGTATCTGGCGTGGTGGGGGGGGTGTGAAATGGTTCTCCCAATGTACCCTTTTACTAAGATTTTGCCCAAACTAGGCCTCAACTCTTACCATTATGTATACATGAGCCCAAAGTCTCACTTTTTTTTTTTTAAGATTTTACTTTTTATTTATTTGACACAGAGAGAGATCACAAGTAGGCAGAGAGGCAGGCAGAGAGGAGGAAGCAGGCTCCCCGCTGAGCAGAGAGCCCAATGCAGGGCTTGATCCCAGGACCCTGGGATCATGACCTGAGCCGAAGGCAGAGGCTTAACCCACTGAGCTGCCCAGGCACCCCCAAAAGTCTCACTTTTAAACAGTAAGTCTCACTGGAAGTTGGAAGATAAAGCAAGGATGTAAGAAATAAGCTGCCAGCAACAAAATCAGCTCGTCCAAGAACTCCCTGGGTACCCCCAGGTAGTAACTAGAAATCACCTTATCGAAAAATTAGTAATCATTTCATTCCTTACCACCAAATAATAATGCCTTGGGTACTGAAAGTTGTCGGGAGACAAGAGATACTAGCCTTAAAAGTGTGTTCCACATAATGAAAGCTTACCCCCTAAAGTGTTGAGACAGATTTTAACCACGTCTTCCCCATAGAGAAGTGTCTCAGATACATTCCACAGTACTTAGGGCTATGATACAGACTTTATGGAATAAAATGGTACCCTTCCCGACAGCAACATAAACATTATGGACACAGCAATAACTCAAGTAGGAAAACCACTTGCATCTCTGAAATTGGATATGCCAAATTTTTGTGCATGTGTTTTGCTGGGGAAAGAGCCCAATCTAAATCCTCACAGGGACCCAAAAAGGGTTTAAAATTGAACCCAAGAAGGGAAGTAGCCTCTGCTCCAGACCGACTAGCCCCGTGCTGTGATATCCCAGGCAGTGTTCTCTTCTTCACTTCTCATGGCCTTTTCTGTCTTCAGCTGTCACCTCTCCCCCATGACACTCTTATACCATTTTGGGGGTCTATCTTTCTCTGTCTGCTTTTCTTCCTCTTGTCTCACTCACATGTCTGACACTGTTTCTTCACTTCTGGTGTGAGGATAAGTATTCCTTATCTTTTTTTTTTCTCTAAAGATTTTATTTATTTGAGAGAAAGAGTGAGCAAGAGAGTAAGCACTAGCAGCAGAGAGAGGCAGAGGGAGAAGCAGGCTCCCCTCTGAGCAAGGTGCCTGATGTGGGACTCGATCCCAGCACCCTGGGATCACGACCTGAGCCAAAGGCAGACATTTAACTGACTGAGCCACCCAGGTGTCCCCAGGCATTCCTTATGTTTAAAACCATGGTGGCCACCTCTTGGGATCGGCAGACCAGTCCTGTGTCTTCTAGATTACAGTACTGTGGCTGGCTTCATTTCTGCTCATTGCCTGCGCTCTTTTCAGTTACCTCAGGGTTTGTGGGCATTCTGCAAGGCAAAAGATGCTAGAGGTCTGGCTGCTGGGGATGCTAGTGGAGCAAGCCTCCTGCGGGCTTTAAGGAGCTGAACATGGGCGTCAGACAGCAATGAGCATACGCATGTGCACGCCCACGTCCAGCAACCCCTAATGGACAGACCGCTTTGAGAAAGTTGAGGCACTCTGTCTCTTCCCCAGCTTACGTTAACATCTGAAATATTTGCATCCCCAGTTGGAGCTGGGATTTGCAAGAAATATTTAGAGCTTGCTCAGCACGGCCTTCTCGACCACATTCTATAAATGGCATGCTGGTAAATGAGCCGTAAGGAAAGAATAAAGAAAATGCTACTGCTTCCCCTTTGGGGGTAGATGACGGTGACGTGCATAAGGAAAAGCAGGGAGATGAGCAAAGCAGGCAGATCGGGCTGCTGGAGGACCAGGCGGGCCCGGGCACTCCTCACCCAAGAAGGAGAGCTGTGGCGACGGCCGAGGCCACAAGAACCAAGTCTGAAAGCTGCCATCTGCTGCTACGAAAGATAAGGCGTGGCTCTCAGGATGCCCACGCACACCGCCTTCCTCTCACACCTGCCACGGACGCTGGTTTATGGACTGCAGGGTGCCGGGGCTGGAGGGCAAATGGGGCAGCTTTTTACACAACTAAAAATGGCAGTGCCGTGAGGAGAGACATATCCCCAAGCAGGGCTGAAAGTGGCAGACCCCAGATAACGTGAAAGTCATTGAATTTTAAAACATAAACATAAGGCTGGCACAGAAATGTCAGCTCTCCAGAAGAAACAGAGACAAGAACGTTCAAACGATAGACAAATCGGCCATATATATCCCAAAGGCAAGTAATAAGATTAGCCAGTGGTTGGTAACAGACAGAGGCCATGACCCCCCCACCCGGTTCACCTGTCCCCACACCACCGCTGTGGGAGTGGGTGGGGATGTCCCCACCGCTGGCCGGGGAGGGTGCACCTGTCCAACTCCTTACCTCGTTGCGGTCCCCAGCAGGGGTATGTGAGGGCCGAGCTTCTCCATCCAGGGGCTCGATCTCTGCAAACTCTTCCACGGATTCTTGAAACTCAGGTAAGGACCTTCGTCCGTAACGCTTGCCACCTTTAACATATTTGGGCTGAGCTTCTAGTGAGCAGTCTAGGCGAGGAGACAAGAGTTGAGGCCACATTACATGACAGACTCAGCCCGTGGCTGACAGTCACAGCTGTCAGACGCAGCCTCTTATACTAGCCCCAAAATAAACCACCGCTGTTGGCCAGTTGTGCTGGCCGTGGGCGGATCTGAGCCATCAGGTCAGATGCAGAGCACGGCTTCTAATTCTGAGTGACTGACAGCACCCCGAGCACATCCCTGCTTCCAACAGGAGAGATGCAATGCCGGCAAGGAAGGGTTCCCCCGGGAAGGACAGGACTAAGAATGGGATAAAGTCAGATGTCCTATCTACTCTTCTTTTGACGAAGCTGGTGTCTTGTAGAGAGGGGAAAAGGGACAGGGCAACAGAGGCGTGTCGGAGGAAGTCTTGGAGAATAATGCTAAACCAAACGCCACATCAGCACCGTTAGTATTCACACACCCCTCCTGTACCTCAGTGACTCCTTTGTTACCCATCCCACCTTCAGATCCATCAGACAAGTGGGATGACAGAACAAAGAAACTGACACAGTGGCTCCTAATAAATCAATGACAGCTCATCGCTTACATGAAACCTGGCACTGAGATCTCATTATAAAATTTAAATCCTAGGGAATAAAATAAAATAGTCAATGCAAAACTGTAGAAAGGCAAACAGTAGATGATGTTTTTTTCTCCTCTTCATGAACTTCAGTGTTGTACAAAATAAAAAGGAGCGTGCATTAAGGGGAGAGTCATTCTTGACCTTAAAGGAGGACCTCAGCATTCTGATGTAATGTGTCTCAGGTGCAACAGTCACCACCATCACCCACCACCGTCACCCGCCACCGCCGCCACCACATGCTAACCTTTCTCTACAATGGGTAGCTTTAAAGCAGTAGAATAAATACTTCACTCTATGCCAATGTCATCTTAGATAGATTTTTTTTAGCACCTTGCACAGAATTAGGAGAATAAGATATTCTATTAAAGTACTAAAGATTGGCAAAGCTTTGATTGCAGTTCTTATCATCCATAAAAGCACTGGGTCTCTCTAGAGAACATAATTTTCTGTTTGAACAGGGCAGTCTTCACAAGATGTGTCTGAACTCAGACACGCAGATGTTCAGATGAGCTGCGGACACCCGTCATCAAAACTGGGGCGTGGCTGATTAGAGAAGGACTAGAAGAGTGAAACCCTACCTTGACTATTGCGGAAACCATGTTCGGGGTTAGCCATTATGTTGTCCTTTCCCTGGGAGGCCGGGTGATCCCATCTGGCCAACTCTGCCCTGACCTGAACCTCCCGCTCCCCCCCTCCTTCCTCTGGTATCAGCTCAGATTTCAGAGATGTGGTCAGAAGCATCCTGAAAATGCTCAGCAGAGCTCAGAGTGAAGTATTTATGCTCGCTCTATAATTTCCAGCGATATTTATATCCAGCTTCTTAAAAGTCCCAGCCAAGTCATCTCATTTGGGAGCGATTCTCTCACAGAGAGGCTTTAAGCAGATGCAATTTATATTGAAAAATCATATGCATGCTTGAAGGTACCTTTCATCAGGAGAGAGTGGGTCAGCCTGCGTGCATTCAGGAGCGGCCCAGATACCCGAGCTACGTGTTGGCAGCTGACCCCCACAGATGCTGGTCAGACAAGAGGCAATGCAGAACCATCCTTAATTTAGTACACATTCTTAAATTTTCCTGGCAGACAAGATACACCATTCGTGACGCTGGGGGGGTGAGGGGGGGAACCGGGGGGAGTCGAAAAAGATGAAAAGAAAAACTCAGGATGTCAGAAACGGGAACGTGACATGTCCCCAACGTGACAAGGTTGGTGGTCTCAGGATGGGAGTGACAGAGGAGCTCTCGCTGCGTTTTGTGCTTTTACAGAGGTAAAGACTGGTGGGACAGGGGACTGACCCGCTTAAAACAACTCCTGGGATTTATTTCAGAACCCACCTGTGGGGAAAATGACTCCCCAGTTATGTGGGGAGCAGCTGGTGGATTTGGATAAGGGACAGAAGGTAATGGATTGCGAGCCATTAGGAACCCTGTGAGGTTTGGGTTTATTTTATCTATTTTAGCACTGCCAAGAATTTTTTTTTAATTTATTTCATATTTTATTATTGTAAGTAATTTTAAGCAAAATTTAAGTTAGCATCTTTAACAGAATGTAACTACATCACAAAGTCAATTTCTAGAGAACTCTATGAAACTGTATACTCTTTGGGGATACTAAAGATATCAGCCCACAGAGAGGAAGAACGGGGTGTTCATGTGACCTGATAGCGAATTTCCAAAACCATCTCTGTGACCAATAAAGACTAATTGAACCAATTATCAACAGTTACTTCTCTGACTTACATGCTCACATCTCTATTTCAAGCCTGAGCATCACTGTACTTACACGCTAAGTAGCGAAGAGAGAGCAAAAGTAAGGACATCCGGAGAGAACATTCATGGACAACAGTCATTTGTGTGTTAAACATTTGAAAACTATGATTTTCTTGACCAATCTCAACCAGACCTTTAGAAGGCCACGGCAGCAGCCCACCAAATGAACGTTAAGACACTCTTGTACCCCTAAATTAAAGAATGCTTTACCCCATCCATACCATGCCCAAGAGAGACTCACACAACTGCAGCCTGGGGGCAAAGTTTCTGTCCTTTATGAGTGCATCCAGCTGGAAGACACACATTTCAAAGTTCCATCATGGAACAAGTTTATCTATGCCAGATAATAGGGTGTAGCTTGATTCATTTAGAAATGAAATCGTTTACGTCAAACAGTTTTCTTTAACATAAGTGTAAGTGACTGCTCCAATCACATGCTCCAAGGAGGGCTATGAAATGCCAGTGAAACAAACAATATGTAAAGGACCGCCAAACTTTCAGCGTCTATTTCCTTGAACACTTATTTATGACTCTGCCTGGACTGCCAAGCTTCAGAGTCACTTTTGCTTCTTTCAGTTTTCTGTTTCTCCTAGTTGAGAAAAGTAAAAATGGTCTTTGAAGGAAAGAGGACAAGCCCAGACTGCCTAGAGGAGTCTTAGACCCCATCCTTGGAGAATTTATTGTGAAATGCACAGTCCTAATAAGGTGGCTTTGAAGCAGTCCTATGTGACTTAGTTTAGATGATCTGGGTTTTATGCTATAAACCAAACACTTGGTTATGAGTAAGGAATAGAGAAATCCTGATTCACTTCCCTAAAGACTGCTAGAGAAACACAGAACCAACCAACAGTCTCTACAGAGCAGTTGGAGGGGAGGAAGATCTAAACGGGGAGTTCCAAAGACTAAAGAAATACCATTTCTCCCAGCCTCAGCAAGGAAACAAAATCTGGATGCTAGACACCGCATTCTTTACTCCATATTTCATCTGTCCCAAGGAGAGGAACTCCAGACTTGTGGTAATGTCCACCTTCCAGAATCAGGATGAACCAGCACGCATGTGTATGACTTGTAGCCACATGTCTTGCACTTACAATAAAAGGAAAACTGAAATGCAGAGTCAGTGAGAATGACCACTCAGGGGACAAGCCAGCTGCAGGCAGGGAAAACCACGGACACTCACCCACCCACCCCTCTCAACTGCCTTCCCTGCCTCAAGCTCTAGCTGAGCATTAAGGAGGGACTGTCCACCCCTCCTCCTTGAACTGACTGCAGACTAAGGGATGGAGGTCTCCACTTGGAAGCTCTGCCCTCCCAATGTCCAAAGAGCAAAACAATGAGGATCCAAGTGGTAGTTCACAGGCAAAGTACTGTATCTTTTGAGGGATAAGATGGATATTTTATCACTTTTTGATTTAAACCTCCCTGTTCCCAAAACTGACCTCAGGATATTTCCAGGATGAAAGAGAAAGCTCTTTTTAGTGCTGATATTCTTATTTTTAAATGCTTGTATGGACCCTTGTTTTCTCCTTCCCTTCCTGCCCCATTCAGTTAGCCTGGGACAATAGTTCCCGGGGACAGCAGCCCCTTCCAAAGCCAAAGTCCCTCAGCAAGAAGTGACAGCAGTCTGGGGCCCCCTGTATTACATTTCTGCTGAGCTCATGGGATTCCTGAAACTCATTTAAAAATAAGGAGTCCAAGACGAAGCACATTCGACCCTCAGGACAAGGGGCCCCAAGAAGCTTCCGTGGGCGAGGGCAATCAGGCAGCAAATGAGCACCACCCACACCCGTGGCCCATCCCCACCTCCTTGTGAACACCCTTACACGCACATAACACAGAGTGCAACCCCATACCTGACCCTAAGTAAGAGAGAGAGAAGAGAAAGAATTAAAGGGAGACCAAGACGGGGGTGGGGGCAGAAAGAGGGAGGGAGAGAGAGACATGGACGGACACAAGTGGGGAGAGGGTGAGGGGAGGGGAGGAGGAGATGGGCAGGGACCTAGAGGCCTATGGAGGGTGGGAAGCAAGAGGAACAGATGGGGCGGGGATCAGAAGTCAGGGCAAAGTGTAGCGGGGGTCCAAGGAGGAGGGCAGAAGTGTGCTGGAGTGGTAGAAAGAAGAAAGGGGTGAGGAGGGGAATGTCCCCAGGAGGGAAGGGGAGAAGAGAGTCCAAGAGGGAATGAACAACATAAAGATGTTGGGGAAGCCTTCGGACGTTCCTTCCGCCTCCCCGAGTGCTCTCTGCCTCCGCGGGAGGTCACCAGCCAGCAGGGTTGTCCCCCCACACCTGTGTGTACATACGGCCCTTTCCAGGGCAGCTGCTCCCTAGCTGCCAGCACCCCGCTCCGCAGCTACCCCTCTCTCCAGGAATCCGCACACAAGACGCAGGGGCTCATCCGGGGCTTTCAGTGAATGTGGTGACAGAATTTCAGGAATGGTCGCCACCAGTCTGCATTGATGGTTCTTGCTGGAGCACAAGTGCTTCGGGACACAAAGTTAATGGAGGAGGGGGGCCTCTGATTAACCCTGCCTGGGAGGAAAGCTCTGCGGTGAAGGTCTGCACCTCCCCAGGGTGCCCAGGACGGTGGAAGGGTGTGCCGGCAACAGGACTGAGTGGTCTGACTAGCTGCTCTG